CTAAGTGGGGCTGGATATCAATCAACAGCCCCAGGCCTGCCGGAACAGCCAGGTCTTGACGGCTTTACGGAAGGCCGGGAGAGTGTTGGCCCCACCTTAGGCACACATCCACCTTGGATTTGCAATGGCAAATCACTTCTGAAAGCTTGCCAAGAAAGCTGCAGAGATTAGACCAGGTAATTGCCAGGTGTCAACAATGACTTGAAGGCATACACACACACACACATTTTATTTTTATTTATTTATTTCTCAAGCATGTATATAAGATAACAGAGATAAGTATAAACATGATTATGAATATGAATAAATGGGGACATTAGGACAGGCACTGTAGGCATTTTGGTGCACTTATGCACGTCCCTCATTCTTAGGAATGGGGTGAGGTCAACAGTACATACACACATAATTGTGATACCGAAGTTGTGTCGCAGTTAAGACATCAAATTTTGACCAGGGAAACCCTGGGGAAGTCCTCCTTTGACATTAGAACTTGCTGTCTGTTTTTTTGAATTTGTCAAGGAAGGAAGCAAGGGCAAACCATTTCTCAAAAATCTTGCCACAAACCCCACAAAACTCCAGGCAGTCTCTGATCTCTGAGAATCCAACACAGTTGAACAGAAGGGGAAAAAACCACTTGGTTAATGTCGTTTTCTTTCCACACATTTGGTTTCAGTGTCTTTTATTAGCTACTCTTCCTCTTTGAATAATATGATTCCCTTAAAAAGGAATGGCGTAATGAGTTTTGCATATATCTGCATATCATGTACTATATTATTGATGTTTTTGAAAACAAGCCAAATATTCCTTAGTACTGTATTAAAGCAAGGATGGTTGTCTGCTGGAATGACAGATTTTCCTTTTATTTTTTTGCATGAATCTCATAGAAGAAGAAGAACCCTACAGAAGCCATAGATATATAATTTTCATACAATCCTCAGGTTGAAAGGGACGTTAAAGGTCTCCTAGTCTAACTCCCTTCCCAGTGCAGTAACCCTTAGATTGTCCTGGACCAAAGGTAGGTTCCTACCGGTTCAGACCAATTCGACTGAGTAGGTAGTAACTCGGCCGCCCACGCACCTGAGCTGGTTGTATTGTCAGCAGTACCATCTTTATTTTTGCTTCTATGCATGCGCAGAACAATCTCCATTTCAGAAATGTAATTTCGAATTCCCCTCCTTTTCTTGCGCAAATTTTTTTGCGCTCTAAACCAGCAGTAATGCCTGTAGCAACCCACCCACCCCTGTCCTGGACGATTCTGGAAAACATAATGGTGGAGACTCCACCACTTCAGAAGGAAGGATGATATTCAACTGTTGAATAGCTCTCACAGTGAGGAAATTCCTCTTTATTTCCCGTTTCAGTCTCCTACTGTAACATATTCATCCATTGGTGCTTATCTTTAGGGGCTGTGGGGAATAAGTCCTTGTGTGACAATCCTTTAAGTATTGGAAGGCTGAGATCATGTCTCCCCATAACCCTTTTGCTTCTGGTTGAACATTGTTTTGTTCTTAACCATTTAGTCATGTTTGACTCTTGGTGACTTTATAGACAAGTGCTCCCCATGCTACCCTCTCAAGCACAGCTTCTTTCAGTTGCTGGATGTTCAACTCAGCATCATATTTGATGTGATCAAGCCAGCGAGCTCTTTCTTTGCCTCGTCTTCTTGTTCCTCCAACCATTCCTAGCATCGTTGCCTTCTGCAATGAATTCACACGCATGACACCCCCAGAGTAATTCAGACGTTGTCTTATGATTTTAGCTTCTAGGCTGTTTCTGGTTTTATACAATTTAACACCCCTGTGTTAGTTACTCTGGCTGTCCAAGGGATACCCAGTCATTTGCCCCAGCACCACAGTTCAAAGGCGCCAATTCTTCAATCAGCCATTCTTAGTGCCTGACTCCTACACCCATACGTCACTATAGGGAAGACTATTGCTCTGATAGCAGAACATAGTCTTTTGAACTGCTCTTCATACGACTGAACTTCCAGGCCCTTTACCATTCTTTCCAGTTTCTCAACATCCTTCTTGCACTGTGCTGACCAGAATTAGGCTCCGTATTTGGGTGTGGCCTGATCAGTGCAGTGTAGAGCAGATCTAGCACTTCCCACAGTTTTGACATTAATACTCCCTGTTAATGCAACCCAAAACTGCAATGGCACTTTTGACAGCTGTGGCACATTGCTTGGTACTTAACGCAGAAGGATTTGTGGTTCATTCCACCAGGTGGCTCTCCAGGCACACCAAGACCGTGTTTGCAGACGATCCCCATTTTATGGTTCCACGGGCGTCGGTCAGACCACAGATCTGGTTAGAAAAAGATGTTGAGACTCTAGAAAGAATGCAGAGAAGAAGAACAAAGAGGATAAGGGGTCTGGAGACTAAACTGTATGATAAACCATTGAGGGAACTAGGCATGTTTAGTCTAACAAAGAGAAGGACTAGGAGAACAGGACAGCAGCATTCCAGTACTTGCTGGGCTGTCACAGAGAAGAAAGGGTCAATCCAGTTTCCAGTCCACCTGGGCTCAGGACAAGGACATCTTATCAAACCTAGAACCAAGGAGAAATTTCCTGATAGTGCAAACAATTAATCCGTAGAAAGACTCGTTTCTGGAAAGAGTGGGTGCTCCATCACTGGAGGTTTTCAAGAAGAGATGGACAGCTATTTGTCTGGAATGGTATAGGATCTCCTGCTCAAGCAGGATTGGCTTAGAAGACCTTCAGGGTCCCTCCCAGCTCTGTTATTCTGTTATTCTTTCAGTGGCTAAGCAACCGATCATAACTCAAGGACTGCCGGTGTAATAAATATTAATAGTCAGGTACACTGATACTAACGAAGGAGATGTCTGTCTGGTCATCTAAGGATGCATGAGGGATGGAGAATTGATCCCTGGCACCCTCTGTGTTGGCAAAGGAGATGGAGCAGGATTGCATGTAGTTAACTGTTGCACAACTCAGAAGTACCACTGGAAGTGCCTGACTGCAGATTCTCCCTCTAACTCTGCCTCTGAGAAAAAGGGTCAGGCTGAAGCAGCTGCTACCTTTTTCGTTGGACACATTTGTGTGTTCCAGGGGTGTTCCTCTGCCTCGGATCATGGGGAGGGGGCCAGCTGTTTCGTTGCTGGGGGCGGGCATGTCAGAGAGCTGGCATGTGCTTGATGAAAACACAAGCCGTTGAAAGTTAGTTTGGGAAGCCTGCTGTCAAATGCAAAGATTGTGATTGCCAAATGCGTCAGTGGATTCTTTTCTCTCTCTCTCCCCCCTAAAACTTTTTGTATGTGAAACCGCAGGCCCGCCTAAAGGTTGGAAATACCACAAATTAAAGTGAGCAGTTCTCCCATGACATGACAGTTTTCCAGCCCACTATTTTTGTCATTATGGCGGGTTTGGGAAAGGACTTTTTGGGGGCTGGAACATCAGCTTGAAATCCTGTCCGAAAATGGGTACGTTCCCTGGAGCCAGATATAGAAAGGTATCATTATAGCGCGGAGGGCTGGGCAAGAGTTGCATGAAGATGCGCTCTGCTTCTGCGGGGAATTTCCTAAGGCCCAGCCATCCCTCTGGGCTAAATGGTTCCAAGATTCTGGATGACAAAACGGGTGTATTTTTACACCCTTCTGTGGGTTGTATAGGGAAACCTATTTATACTAACTGCTTAGCCAGCTGGGTCAACTTTTCTCATAGGCAGCTGGTAAAAGTAGATGAAAGTTAGTTCTTGGGAACGGTATACAGTAGAACCTCTGGTCACGACCATAATTCGTTCCATAACTTTGGTTGCAACCCGATTTAATTGTGACCTGAACCTAACCAAAATTAATGCAGTGGCCACACATGGGTCACTGTTTGTAAATTTGGCGCTTACCAAAAACCCGATCTAGTCATGGTCAGGAGCATTTGTGACAGAGGTTCTACTGTATTGTGAAGAGGAGGATGGAGGTGGAGATCCACCACAATTCAGCCCAACCCACAAAGCATCTGAAGGATCAACCTAAAAGCAGGAGAGGGGATTCCCGCCTCCTCCTGATGTGAGTCTCCCTTTCCTCCCGGGGTCTCTTCCGCATCTGGTTATTTAGGTCTCTTTGTTGTCTCTCGCAGGTATCACTGGAGAAGAAGAGCTCCCTGAGCACATGGCCGCCGAGAGTGGAGCTCGGTTTTACCCCTGGATGATAGACAATAAATATTACTCCGCTGCCATCCATCTCTGCGTGGTGGCAAACATGTTTCAGGTGACAGCGGAAATTGCCGAGTCCATTCAGGCTTTCCTGATCTACTTTGACAGCACCGCAGTGAGTGTTGCCCTGCAGTTTGGGATGTAGATTAGAGTAATGTAGCATTGCAGAATTGGAAGAAAAATCTGCTTCTGCCTCCCAGCAATTTGCCTCCTTGCAACAAACAGCAAACAGGACTATATTCGTACAGATCCTGTTAAAATTGATGTGGCTTTCTGGAAGTATAGTTATTCTACGCTGTTTAAAAAAAGATACTATAGCACTGGGCCTCTTCAGAACAAGTCACTTCCGGTTTGCTCGTAGGGTCGTTTTTAGTCCTCCGGAGGCTTCAAAGAAGCCTCCAAAAGATCCCAGAGGCCTCCAGAGGGCCTCTGGTGGTGGTGGTGGGGAGCGCTGTTTTCGCTCTCCCCAGGCTCCTATAAAGCCTTTGGAAAAATGGGGGGGGGGGGCTTTCATGAGCGCATGCACACTGGGTGGGTCGCACATTGCATTATGGGTACAGCACGCCCACGCACTACCCCCCCTTATGGCACGCAAGCCAAAAAAGGTTTGCCATCGCTGCTATAGGCTATTGCAGCCTCCGCAAGCCCCATCTTCCCCATTTGCTGTAAGGAGGTAAATTGCTGGGAGGCAGGGGCCAAAGGGTGGGGGCTGGTGGGTGGGTGGGGCTACATTCAGTATATAAGACG